AACTAATCCACGCCCCCTTGATCCATGTTTGCGATCGCCTGTGGTCTGCCTCCTCCTAAGAGTTCTCCTCGCGCCTCCCCAACCCCATTCGGGCGGCGAGCGAAGGGGGAAAGCGAGAAGGAGGAGGCCTTCTCAGGAAGGCTCGGGAGTCCCCAAACCTGCTGAGAAGTCTTCTGAGCTCTCCCCGAGGACACAGAAAACTGCTCAGAACGCGCGAGGGGTTCTGAGAAGTCCCGCCGCCTTCTGAGAATGCCGTCTCCTTCTGATTTCCCTCAAGACAGGAGGGGCCCCAGGGGGCCGGGGGGGCCTCGGGGAAGAGGCTGGGCAGCTCCCCGTCGGCCTCGATGCCCGTGGCCGCGAGGATCCCCGTGGTCAGCACCGATCGGGGAGGGCGGCTGGAGGAGGCACAGTGGGACGCACAGAGACATACAAATCCTCCATGTCCTCCTTGGAGGCGCGCGTCCGACCCGACATATTGTATACCCATATTGTACTATGTCGTTACCCGGGCGATGTAGCCAGAGAGCGCCCGCCACAACGCATAGACTGTAAGATTATTCGGTGCGCGCGTCGCCCCGGGGGAGGGCACGCACACATAGTATTAATATGTTGGGGTAACGCCGACAGGAGGGGAGAAGGAGGAGGATGCAGGAAGAGGGACGAAGAGATGGAGAACGATCGAGGATCCAAGAGGGGGACCGTAAGAGGAGGAGGAGGAGGAGGACGAATAGAAAAACTCAGAATCGAGGGGGAAGGCAAGGATCGACCATCGAGGACCGATGATCGACATCCACTAGACACATGTTCTGTTAGGTTCTTTTACAATGCTGCAGTGCTCCGAAGCACGTGTGAGAACCTCTGGATCAGACATCGCTGGCCCGTGGCACGTGATCTTCCGCAGGGTCTCAGGCGTGATCTCCCGTATGGTCTCCCGCGTGGTCTTCCGCGTGGTTTCTCATATGGGCTCCCGCATGGTCTACCGTATGGTCTCCTGTATGGCCTGCCGTATGGTCTGCCGTGTGGCCTCCCTCAGGGCTTTCCGTGTATGATCTCCCGCATGGTCCATCGCGTGGTCTCCCGCATGGTCGCCTGCATGATCTTCTGTATGGCCTCCTCCGTATGGCCCCCCGCATGGTCTGCAATGTGGCCCACTGTATGGTCTCGTGTAAGGTCTCTGGTACGTTTGAGGCCCCCCATCTGGTCTCCCAGATGTCTCTCGCGACATGAGGGAAATCTTTGCGGGCTTGTTTTCTCCCCGTTGACGGCCGGCGCCCCCGCGCCAGCATGTGGCAAGCGAAAACGGCGCCGCCGGGAAACCTGACTGGAAACCTCCAGGGGCCGTCCCGGCCGGAGCGCCGGCAACGGCACACTGCCGTGCACCAGGGCGGATGAGGGTGGGAGAGAAACGCAATTGCGCCCACGGCGCCAGGAGCAGGAGGGCCCCTGCCAGATGCCTGCGCGCAGGCCCTGGAGGAGTGGCTTCCTCCAGTGGCGACTGACCGACGTGCGCCCGACCTCCACGAGGGCGGGCCACGCCCCAGAGTCAGCACGGACTCCGAAGCGTCCACGCAGGCACCAGGCACCGCGTCCGCCACGGCGCCAACGCCGCCAGCGAGCGAGAGCCCCTGGCCAATCAACAAACCAACCAGCCAACGACCGAGAAAAAGAGCGAGGCAGACGGGGGGTGAGGCCGCCCAGGCGCGTGAGCCACAGCCCTCTGCTGGAGGCAACCAGACCAAGAGCGCTACCCAGGGAGCCCAGAATCAGAAAGGCGGTGAGGCACAGAGATTAGTGCAGCCCCGCCCAGCTGATTTTCCTGCCCCGCAAACCGCTACGCGGTTTTCGGGCTATGATAACTCGGACATGCTCTCTCGCAATTGAGTGCACGCTATAAGTGTAAGGGCGGGCACCTCGAGCGTCACGAGAGAGATAGAGAGGGACGCCACGAGCGCTTTGCTTTGAGGGGGAGCCTCTGGAGATCTCTGGAGGCCCGCTTCCACGTCGAGAGGCAGTGGTAAACAGTTGGGGGCATGAAAGTCCAGGGTGGGGGGGGTTAAGAGAAAGCAGCAGTGCGGCAAGGGTAATCGGGCAACGGAGAGAAGCGGGCCCCGCGCGAGAGAACATACAGTGGAGGCCCGACCACAAGAAACCTTCCACAAGCAGCCCAATCGTGAGACCCCAGGACGTCCGCCGAGTCTTGCTGTGGGAACGCCACGCTCTCCACAGCAAAACCATCGAAGCCCAACGTGATCGGTTTTGTCATTCATTGTTTTGCCGATCGGCGCGGGCCATCGCGACCCCCCTCGCCCCCCCCACCATGGAGTGGCTCTTGACTGCTTGGGGCGCCTGCTCCAAGCAGGTGGAGCCTCCCCCAAGGGGACGCACGGTTCAGAACACTCGCACGAAGCAGAGGTCCGGAGCCAGACCCCCACCCCCCCTCCCCCCCCCTTCCGCCCAATGTTAAGTCGGGCCTGTCCCCCTACAGGGGGATTTTCGACGGAAAATTAAAAACACACCCAAAATAATCCAAAAATAATCCAAAAAAAGTCGGGAGACTATTTTTTGAATTTGTTGTTGATCTTTTTGGGGCATTTGGGGGGCATTTTTTCGTCGAAAATCCCCTTGTAGGGGGACACGCCCGACGTAAGCCCAATGCCGACACGCCGAACAAAGGGCACCCCAAGCATAAAGGAGCCCCAGGACACACAAATAAATACACACAAATAAACAGATCCCCCATATTTTCCCATATGTTCTGCGTTTCTGTCCCCCCCACCACACTTCCCATATTTTCCAATATTTTCTGGGGATCGTCGATTAATTGTGTCTGTGTGTTTTTTCCCTCCTGGAAGCAGGGCGCTGCGGCGCACGAGGACCTCCGCTGCGCCGCGGGGCGCGACGGCGCGGCACGCGCCGCGCCCGCCGCGGAAGCGCGGGCGCCGCACGCGCTGCGCGGTGCCCTGCGCGCCAGAAGCCCTTTTGCAATCCCGAAGGCCCGCGCGGTCGACACCGATTCGTCCTCCTCCTCCTCCTCCTCCTCCTCCTCCTCCTCCTCCTCCTCCCCCTCCTCCCCCTCATCCTCCTCCTCCTCCTCCTCATCCTCCTCCCCCTCCTCCTCCTCCTCCTCCTCCTCCTCCTCCTTCGACTCATGCTGCTCCACATTGCACTTGGGGACCACGTCCCAGAGATGCTCTCGAGCATCTCAGAGGAGCATCGAAACGGTGCGAAATCCTCCCCACATTTCATTACTTTCTTGCTGCTCGAAATTCTTCCTGGTGGTCAAGGCTAAAGCAGGTAGGAACATCGTAAGAGTCGGCAGCCATGACAGGCAGACAGACTTTGGAGTCCCGAAACGTTGCGATGACAGACCGTGCGGTGACCTCGAAATCCCCCAAGACCTCACCGCACGGTCCGTCACCGCACAGTCTTGGGACCTCGGAGGCCCCAGTCGCCGGAGACGTCCTCGGAGAGGGACCCGGGTCCGAAAACCGTGCGGTGACCGACCCCGAATCCCCACCGACTCACCACACGGTGTGGTCACCACCCCGTTCGGGGGCCTCCGACAGACAGACAGGCCCCTGCACTCCCGCCCCGGAGGGCGGCCTCCCCGCAGAGGGGGCACGCGCACGAGGCACGATAGGTCCCTCGCACGGGGCGAGACTGTGGCCAGCACTGGCTCGGCACCCACGTGACGACGACCACACCATCGGCCCCCCCTCCGACTAGGTGCCTCCTAGATGGGGCCCGAGTAGATGGGGTCGAAAGATCGCGCCGCATCGCCAATGAATCGCGGGTGCATCGACGACGCATCGTCGATGCGTCGCCGACGTCGGCGGCGCATCGGCGACGTCGGCGTGGGGAAACACGGGCTCCGCATCGAGCCGCATCGCCGAAGCATTGGCGATGCGCCGCGATCCTCCGACCCCATCCACTCCGACCCCATCTGGGCGGCCTAGACCAACCACATTCGCCCTGCGGCACTCGGATGACGAGCGGCACGACCACGAGACTGCCCGAGGACCACGCCAAGGAACCGCCGGCGGGGAGAGAGGAGGGAGAGGGACACGACGAGCACAGAGAGGGCAGTCTGTACAACGCCAGAAGAGTATGATATGGAAGGGGATGCGGTGTGACAGCGACGAGGACGGGGCCACGCTCGGCTGTTGGCATGAGGACAGCATTCAGCCTCGCCCAATCGAAGGAGCTAAGATCTCGACTCAGGTCACGAACAGACTAAGAACCAAACTTGATACAATGATGACAAAGAGCGGTCTTCCGTCCGGGTAACAGTTGCGCGTTTTGACATTTCGTCTCGCCGATGGATGGCACCCAAAACGAACGATGCATTCTTACATCCGCGTAACTGCTGCAATAATTCAAAACGAATGCGGGCGGCGCTCAAACGAAACCCAACGATGAAAACGGCGTGTCCTCCATTCCACGCGACTCTTACATTTCAAACCGTGTGCGCGACGAGATGTGATACCCTGATGAGTACGGCAATCTACACCTCATCAATAGAACACGCGAATGTTCAGACAATGCATGTATGCGGCGCCAATGCGAAAACAACATGTTGAAACCGACGACCGTCCACACATGTGGCTGCTACAACATGTCGTGAAAAATGACCAGCGCCAAATCGATCACTTTGCAAGTCCGACCGCCCTCCCCCCGTATCCGACCGCGACCTCCCCCCGTGGAAAGGTGGAGAGCTCCAACTTCTGGTTTGTACAGTGCGAGGAAGGTGCTGAAGCGAAGCGCTCAGCTGTGCGACGAAGCGGGATTACCAGAAGGATGGAAGGGCTCCTCCTCCTCCTCATCATCATCATCATCCTCCTCCTCCTCCTGCTCCCCACATGGTGATCCACCCCCTGATCCTCGTCATACCCGAGAACACGCCCCTCCAGCAAGGCGAGAACACGCACCACCTAGACAGCGAGGGTTATGCAAGAAAATACGGAAGGTGGAGGAGCATGAGATGAGCGGTGACTTTGAGAAGAGGACAGCGAAAGGAGACCGAGAATTGTCACTCCCCCAAAACGGCCGCCGCCACGGTCAGATTGTACTGCGGCAGATTAGAATTGACTTCGGCCTTCGGCGAAGCTTTCAAACCGAGGAGGTGCCACAGGGGGGAGATTCTCCTTGCGGGCAGGTGGCGGTGCACGCGTGCAGCAAGCCCGCTTCAGCTTGCCTGAATTCGAACAGCAATTCAGCAGAGGATGGGATGGGACAGGGGGGAGTGAGGCAATAGCCTTCTACTCCTATTCGCAACGCGTGCTGCTTCTCATGAGCCTGACAGAGCGCAGAAGGGCGGGGCCACTCGGAGTGGCGCCAGCCGCCACCCTCATCCACCTCATCTTGGAGACGGCCGAGGGGGTCTGAACTGGATGGGATTAGGTCGGGCATGTCCTCTTACAGGCGGATGTTGGAAGAAACTAATACATACTCAAACCAAAATCAAACATAGTCAAAAGAGCACGGCAAATCGTCACCAGACTATGGTTTTCTATTCTTGAACATTTCTGAATAATCCTCCTGTAGAGAGACATGCCCGACTCAAAGAGGGGACCCCGGCCCAGTCTGCTCGAAATGAGTTCACGGACCTATCTGGTGCAATTTTTCGCCCTGGCGCCGTGTCTGAAGGCCCCTGGGGCCCGAAAGCGCGCCCCCGCGAGGCCGAAGAGGGCACAGAGAGCCGATCGGACTCAGCACCTCGCATCTGCCCCGCCCCCCCCGCCAGAGCCCATGCTGGGCCACCTCAGGCCACCAGCCAGCACCAAGCCTCACCGCCAGCCTCGTCTGCCTGCCGCTCCCCGGCAGCGGGCTCCACCTGCTTCCCGCCTGCTCCCCGCTTCGAGGAGGAGAAGGAGGAGGAGGAGGAAGAGGAGGATGGGGAGGAGGGGGAGAATGGGGGAGGAGGAGGAGGAGGAGGAAAAGGAGGAAGAGGAGGAGAAGGAGGAGGAGGAGGAGAAGGGGGGGAGGGGGAGAATAGGGGAGAATGGGGGAGGAGAGGGGAGAGGAGGAGGAGGAGGAGGACGGGGAGTACAAGGGGGGAGGAGGAAGAGGAGGATGAGAAGGAGGAGAAGGAGGAGGAGGAGGAGGAGAAGGAGGAGGACGTCTGTTGGGACGTCTCTTGAGGTGGGGGGGGCGCCCGTGGCGCCCCCCCACCTGAGGAGAAGGAGGAGGAGGAGAAGGAGGGGGAGGAGGAGAAGGAGAAGGAGGAGGAGGAGGAGGAGCAGGGGGAGCAGGAGGAGGGCGGATGGAGCCAGGCGGCGATCAAGTAGGCCTGGGGCGAGGCTGCACGGCCTGCTGAGACGCCCGGGGTCCTCTCCGAATGGCCGCTCCTCGGGAGCCGCTCCTGCGCCCGAAACGCCCTGCGAGACACGGGGCTCCTCTCGCCCGGCTCGCCCCTTGCGCGCCGCCACAGCCGATCCGATCCTGCCCAGGCCGCAGACCTGGAGTCAACTACCGGGAGGTCTTCGCCGGAAGGACCGAGGATGAAGCCCAACTAGGGGGCCGCTGCGCCAGATTGGGCCGCGGACGGAGCCGGATTGAGCCAGGTTGAGCGGGAATTGGACCGGATGGAGCGGGATCTGGCCGGATGACACCGGGCGTCGGACCAGGGCAAAGTCAGGCTTCGACCTCCCAGGAGCTGCACCCGACAGCAGGCGTAGCATTCACAGTTGAAACCGCAGGCCTAGAGCCCTCGACCTCCCGACTCTCGTGCTCTTCTGCGGCGCCGGTGCCTCAGTGCAGGGCGAGTTGAGACAACGGCAACTCACAAAATCGGTGGGGAAACCAAAAAAGAAACCGATACCGCTGGTCCCCGGACCTCTCCTGGGATGCGTTCTGATCAGGATTTCGAGGCGAATCCGACGGTGGCGACAAGGGCCCGAAAAGTGGAAAACGAGGGAAGGGTAGCCATATGGGTACCTTTTCCTCCTCTGAGTCGGTATCCGGACCTCTCCCGGGGTCTAGACGCACCCAGTGGTCCGACCGAGCTGCTTCCAGCCGTGGCGACGAGAAGGCCCTCCGAAAGCCAACTGCCGCTGTCTCCACTCGCCCTCCCCAGGAGTGTCCGGGCAAGGGACACCTTATGATGGGCCTGTTTTCCACCACCACCACCAGAAGTTGGAAGGGGGGGCGGAGGAGGAGGGCGAGGAAGACGAAGAGTAGGAGGAGGAGGAAGAGGAGGAGGAGGAGGAGGAGGAGGTGGAGGAGAGGAGGAGGAGGAGGAGGAGGAGGAGGGGGAGGAGGAGGAGGAGGAGGAGAAGGAGGAGGAGGACTCCCTCCCCCTCCAACTTATGGTGGTGGTGGTGGAAAACAGGCCCATCACCTCAAAATCGTTTCCCGGGCCAGGGCCCAGGCGCGCCAGTGCTCCTGCTGCTGCTGCTCCCCAGACCTCTCCGGGGGTGCGTTCTGCCTAGGATTTCGAAGCGAATCCAGCGGTGGCGACGAGGGCCGCCCAGGAGGCCCCAAGAGGGGAAAACCAAGGAAGGGTAGAGGTATGGGTACTCGGGGATGGACAGAACCCACTTTAGCAAAACGTGGTTTAGTGAAAACGACCTCGGGCCCAAATCTGGCGGGCGAAAGCCTGGAAAATGACGGCCAGGGCGCCCTCTCGAGAACACACAACGAACAACTCAGTGATCGACGTGTCAAGGTAGGGGTTCTGTCCACCCCCGAGGTACCCTCTCCTCCCCTGACCTCCCGGCCGCACCCCCTGCTGGGTCCACCCGGCTGCCCCCCAAGGGCGCCCAGTGCGGCCACCCGCCCGCGGCCGCAGCGGCCGCGGGCCGGACGGCCGGAGGGCCTCGGCCGCTCAGCGCAGCGCGAGGTCGGCGTCGGGGTCCGGGGTGGGCGGCGGCGGCGTCGGCGGGGGCGTGGGCACCTCGGGCCCCAGGTTTGACGTCTGGAAGTGTCCCTCTACGGAGTGAGCCTTCAAGAGCAACAGAAAGAATAGTATGGGGACGATCTCTCTAGACATGGTGCGGGGACGATGTTTCAAAACATCTCTTTCTACACGTTGTTGACCATGTTTGGGTTCTGTTGCGTCCAAACTCCGCCTGTAGGGGGACATGCCCGACCTCATCCCAGACGCCCTCGAGTCATAGACATGATCACGGCGGTGCGCTGTCGTCGTGTTTCGCCTCGGGGGACCCTTGCCGGGCCTGGGGGCGGTCAACAGGCGAGACCTCTGGGGGTCGACTTCTGATCAAAGCATGGCGTCGGGGTCTGGGGTGTTCGTTGCGGCTGTCGTCGGGAAGGCAGCGTGCAACATCGATCTCCGAAGAGCACTCTTCATCCCTGTGAGGCGGGGGCGCGCAAACATGGATGAGCGATCCATGGATTCGGCGCGCGGCCGCCAAATCCATGGATCGTGGGAGGCGCCCTCCCAAAAAATGCGGCCGGTGCCGCCTCGCTCGGCGGGGGAAACCCGCGATTCCCCACAGAAACGACCCGTCTCTAATACACGCTCCCTTGATCCATGTTTGCGATCGCCGGAATGAGGCGATGCCGCCGCGGCGAGGCCCCTTCTGCCCACGCTATCCCCCTGCAAGGGCTTCTTTGGTGCACGCTACAGGCGGGGCCTTGACCTAAGGAACCCTAAATAAGGAACGAGGCCCCTTTTTTCCATGAGTTAAACACCTGAGGAAAACCTGAGGCAAGCTGCGAAACACTTAAGGAACGCGGAGCCCCTCCCCAACCAAAAGGGTTCCTTCTTCAGGGCCCCGACTGTACCCCGCACGTGGCGTGGTAAATGCAAGCCATCGGTGGCACACCGCACGCTATCCTTCCAACGCCAACCGTGACGGGGAGGCGGGGGCGGGGGCGTCGGCGGGGGCACCTCGGGTCTTCGCTCGCCAGCGGGGGGTAGCCACGAACCAAGATCTCCGACGATGTATTCTTTCAATCGGGGTGCTTTTCCTCTGTTTCGGGCTCTGGTGGCCGCCATTAGGGCCCGTGGTAATCAAAAATGGACCGGCGGCGAACATCTACCACTGGGGAAAGGGTACGCTTGGGACCGAAGATTGAAAGAATCATATCGGCGGATGTCAGGTAACGTGGGGTGAAGGTACGTGCGCCTTTCGTGCACCGCTTGGGCCCGCGGAGCCAATCCAAGGCTTATTTCTGAAAGAAAACATCGGTGATAAAACAACATTTCTATAAGGTCCGGCCAGATTTCTTGGACCCGCGCTGGTACCCAATCCATGGCGCGGAGCGCGCCAATGGTGGCACTGCCAGGGGGGCCCGACGCCGATCCAAGAAATCCGCGCGGACCTCCGAGAAATGATGTTTACGCATCTTCGTTTGTCGTTCGAATTCAGAGCCCCTTTAGGGTTGCATTCCAGCAATCCTCGCTCTCTTGATCCCTCCGAGCGGATAGCGTGTCGCTCGGCTCCGCGAGGCAGGAGGCTGGGAAAAGCTCGGGACATTGACGCTTGCAAACTGGGCCATGGATTGGGAAACAACACAAGGAACCGATACCGCTACTCCCGGGACCTCTCCAGGGGTGCGACCTAACCAGAGTTTCGAGGCGAATCCAGCGGTGGCGATGAGAGCCTCCCTAGAGGCCCCAAGCGGGGAAAACCAGAGAAGTGTAGCAGTATCGACACCTTTTCCTCCAATGGTGGATGACCGTAGGAGGTTTTCAATATTGCTCCCCCACCTGCTTCTCTCGGCGGGGAATGAACTCGCCCCTCCTCCTACTCCTCCCCCTCGTCGTCGTCGTCTTCGTCGTCGTCGCTGCGGAAATTCGATTCCCTCTTTTCTTGGGCGGGCTGGATGATGCTTGGGGGCTCTTTCTACCAGGGAATAAGCCGTTGTGGGCGATCCTACACGCGAAAGGGTTTGGTGAGCATCTTCTCATGCTACTTGCAGTGAGAACATACATCGTTATGGTTCGCGAGTTCGTCGTAGTCGTAGTCGTAATCGTAGTCGTAGTCGTGGCAGTAGTCGTGAATGCTAAGTGCTACTTGTGGTAGTGGTTGTAGTTGATTGTAGTCGTGGTTGTAATCGTGATGATCATCGTCGTGGTTGTAGTCGTAATCGTAGTCGTCGTCGTTGTTATGCGGCGGGTACCGCGGAGAAATCACTATTGTCCACTATGTGTTGGACCCCAGTCCGAAAAAAAGGTCGCCGAACAAAAAGAATACCTTCCATTTATTGGGGGGGGGTTCTGAAGTTCCATCGCGATTGGCGTGTCGCGCCGAAACGTGGTGGGCCGGAACCGGCGGAGCGACACGCTATCCAACAGCTCCCGAGTCTGGCCATCGCTCGGACGTCCATTCCCTGTGATTTTTTCGGCTTCGTGCGTGGGTTTTTTGCCAAATGATCAAGGATGCTCCTCGATGGTCCTCGCCGAGAAAGAACATGCACACGTCCGAGCGATGCCAAGGAGTGTCATGGCGCTTATGGGGCCCCCATTGCCCTCCGCTCGAGCACCGGCGTGGGCGCCGGGGCCCCCTGCGTCGTCGAGGGCGGCTCGGTGGGCTGCGGCGGGTTCGCGGGCGGCGGGGCCGGCACTCCCGCCTGGGAGGAGCAGGAGGCTGGCCATCGCTCGGACGTCCATTCCCTGTGCTTTTTTCGGTTTCGTGCGTGGTTTTTTCGCCAAATGATCAAGGATGCTCCTGGATGGTCCTCGCCGAGAAAAAATGCACACGTCCGAGCGATGCCAAGGGAGGAGAGGCCTCATCCTCCGCCCTCGTCCACGGAAAAGACCGGGTGCGAGCCCCAGGAGCTGCACATGGATTAAGCCATGGTCACTTCGGGGGGGATCAGCAATACTCTTTGGAGGTGGGAATTCGACTGCAACAACACCAACAGCAACAATCGTTTTGAGACTGTTCGCTCTTACCCGTTCGCGTGCCATTCAACACGTAGATCCCGAACCCTCGGTACCCGCTCTATTCGATTTCGATCGTACCCCCTTGGGGCTACATCTTCCCTACCTGCCGCGTGTTCTTGGCGCAGCTCCCAAGCAGGGGAAGGAGGGGAGAGGCGAAGAGTCAAGGGTGAGGGGAAAGGATGGAGCACGAGAGAGATTTGCAGGAGGAGGGTTAGGGGCAGGACCAAAAACGACAGAATAACGGGGCGTGTTGGGCGGCCGGACCCTAAAGGGCAGGTCGGGCGGGCGGGCCCAAGCGACCAGGTCGAGCGGGCGGGTGGCTGAAGCGTGAGTCCTGCATGAACCGTCAGAAAAGTCCTGGGCGAGAGCGGGATCACCGAGGCGCGGTTTCCGAACAATCACAAACGAGAGCGCGATTCTTGGGCAAATTTCCTAGAATTCTCCACCGAAAGCGAAATTTCACAATCAATTGTGAGGAAGTATCAGGCGAGAGCCGTTGCTGTTGTAGTTTGGGGGGCCAACAACGCAGTTTGGGAGCACCCCACTTTTCGTTATAAAGGTCTGCCCGCCCGACCCGCCCGTCAGGTTCTGCCGCTTGTTTTCTGGCTCCGAACACCCTCCTGCGAATCCCTCTCGTGCCCCATCCTGTTCCCTCCCCCTTGTCCTTTCCCTCCTCCCCCCCTTCCCATGTATTCAGGGGCTGCGCCACCTACACGTGACACGTGGGAAAGATACATACCCCCAACGAGGGGTAGGATCGGAAACGAAGAGGGCGAGTATCTAGGGCTATATACACACACTTAAACGTGTGTGTACATATATATGTATATATATATATATACATATAGATGTATGAGTTGAATGGCACGCGAGCAGCTGAGAACGAACTATAGCAAAACTAATGTTGCTTGTCGCGTAAACCGTTTTCCAAAATAACAGCTTGGAAGCCCAGGGAGAGGCGCTACAATAGAAAACACAGCATGTATGCATATACATATATATATATATATATAGATATGTCTTACTGGAAGGGGATCAACTATGCGTGTTCTACAGCAGTGGGAGTTCAGTCACTTGAGCACTGCTCGCTCTCATCTGCTCGTGCGGCAACCAATATGTTTTCCCAATACCTCGATGCCCTCCCTCTTCGCCTTCGATCGCTACCCCCCCCCCGCCCGCTTAGGGGTATGAATCCGTTGCTTGCCACGTGCAAGTGGCGCAGCCGTTCAAACAGGAAGGGTAGGGGAACATGAAGAGAGAGAGGGAGAGAGAGAGAGAGCGAGAGAGAGAGAGGGACAGAGTAATCGATGCTCATTCTGGGGACCCTCCTGTAGACACTCGCTCCACTCGTGCGTCGAAGCTGCATCGAACTTCCGTCGATACGAGTCGACCCTGAGTCGGCCTTGGGTCGACCTTGAATCGAACATGAGTCGCACTTGAGTCGAACTCGAGTCGAACTGGGGTCGAACTAGAGTCGCGTAGATCCGTTGGCTGGGTCCCAGGAAGGTCTGCAAAACGAGCATCGAAAGTTTGAGAGAAACGAATGCGCGATTCTTGGATAAACTGTAAGGAAGTATCATGCCGGAGCGGTTGCCGCTTCAGTTCGGGAGCAAGGACAGAACTCGGAGACCCAAGACTGCCCCGTGCAGAAAAGCAGGGTGCGAGACCAAGGAGGGACACTTCAATGGAAACAAACATCACCGGAGTAAGGGAGGGTCAGCAATAGTGATCCTTCAAAAACTAGATTCCAGCATCAATAAATCAAAGACTGTTCGCTCTCATATGCTCGAGTGTCATTCAACACGTATCTCCGAACCCTCGATGCCCGTCATCTTCGTCTTTGATCGCACCCCCCCCCTGGGGTATAGATTCCTCCCATGTCACGTATAATTGGCTCATCCCTGCGCTGCCACGGGAAAAACAACAATAATGGAAAAGTGAAAGGCCGAGGAGGAAGTGAGTGGAGAAAGGGAAGGAGGGGGGAGGGGAGCCAGAGGACAGGTGTACAATATGGAGGACGGGAAGGATTAGCAAGGGGAGTCCGTCAGAGAGGATGGCAAGAAAGTCTCAGGCAAGAGCGCGGTTCCTGAGAAACTTGTGAGGAAGCCAAGAGCGAGAGCGCGATTCCAGGGCGCCGAGAGAGCGGTTCGTGACTAAATGGATGGCAAGGCGGTCTCAGGCGAGAGCGCGCACCCTGGATACATTGCTGGGATGCGTCTAGGGGAAGCCCGCTTTCACAAAAAAACTAAAAAATATCATGCGGATGCCATTGTCATACACGAGGGGCCAACAAAACAGGCTGAGGATGAAGCATTCCGATTGCAAAAACAAATCGAGCCCATGGAGGGACACAATGTAAGAATTCAACGGGCACCAGAAGGGCGGGGGTCAACCGCACTTAGGTTTCAGAATGCAGATTGAACCATCATTCTCAGACGGTTCGCTCTCAATTGCTCGCGTGCCCTTGGACATGTCTACCCCAAACCATCGATACACGCCTTCTTCGCCTGCCGTCGTACCCCCCCTCCTACAGGGTATAGCATCATCCACTGCCACTTGTAATTGGCGCAGCCCTTAAGACAGGAAGAACATGAAGAATAGTAAAGACCGAGAGCAAGTAGGAAATGAGTGGAGTAAGGAAGGGAGGGTGGAGGGGGAAAAAAGGAGGGAGGGAGAAATAGGAGGACAAGATAGCTTGGCAAGAGGGGATCGCAAAACAGGATGGCCAGGAGGTTTCAGGCGAGAGCACGGTTCCTGGATCGGTTCCTGAACTAACTATGGGGAAGTCACGAGCAAACCCGCGACTGCAAACCGCCTACAAATCGGTGCGTACTTAATTGTACTGCTTCCTCGGGCACGCACGCATCCTGGATAAAGTGCAAGGAAGTATTCAACAAGATCAGATTTCTCAACACATTGTGCGGCCATGTCAGGCGGGAGCCGTTACTGTAGTAAGCAAAGGACCAACAACAACACGACTGCTCTATGCAGAACACAAAATGCGGGCCCCAGGAGGAGCACTTCAATAGGAAAATCAAAATGAAGGGAGAACATCGATAATGATCGTTCTTCGGAATGGGAAATTCAACAAGACGCATTTTCAGAATGCTGGCTGTTATGTGCCATGTTCGTCTTCGGCTGTGCCCCCCCCCTTGGAAATATGCGTGGCAGCCCGCAATTGCGGATAACAGTGAGGGAGCGGCGAGGACGTCGGCAGTCTGCGAGGCTTTGAAGAAGGGCGCCGCAGGCGCCTGACTTGTACAAATTACTGTATGCAGTGAGCCCGTCGCAGACGCCGACTCTTTTGTTAAAACAATGTGGGGGGTCGCGGATGGGTCGCAAGGTGGGTCGCAGGCGGGGTTGCGGGGTAGGTCGCGGTGGGTCGCGGGTGGGTCACGAATGTGTCGCGGGTGGGTCGCGGGTGGGTCGCAGGTGGGTCGCAATCCGGGTTGCCGGGGGACGACGGCAACCAACAACAACAACAACCGAAACAATAACAATAACAACAACAACAACAACATCAACAACATCAACATCAACAACAACAACCGAAACAATAACAACCGAATCAATAACAACAACATGAACAACAACAACAACAACAATAACAACAACAACAACAACAACAACAACAACAACAACAACAACATCAGCAAACAACAATACCAACAGGACCACAGCACAAGGGCAGGGACGTTTCTGGATGCCCTCGGTGAGGGCGACGGCCGACGGTCGGAGCCCCCGGCTTTGGGGGGATAAGAGCCTTCCCTGACGCCCTGTCCCCGGGGCGGCCCCGCTCCAACAACAACAACAACAAACAACATCAAAAAACAACAACAAGAGCAACAACAACAACGGTCAAGCACGAGAAATAAAAACAACCCTCTCGCTGTCTCTAGACCGCAGGGATACTCGCTCTCCCGATGTGCATGCGCGCGCCAGCGAAGAGAGTTTCACTTGGCCTGGATTCCTTAGAAAAGAACCCATTGCTATGGCTTCCTGAGTAAAGACTCCTTGGTGCGGGTTCCTTAATCAAGATTCCGTACGAAGAATCCCTTTATAACTTATAACTATTCCATGGTAAGGGTCAGTTAGCAAAGATTCCTCATTCCATATCCCGTAGTAAGAATTCCATACGAACATACTATATGTGTATATATTCGTTGTACCAAGCTCCGTACTCAAAACTTAGTAAGATGTCCCCCTTAAACAGATTTCGTTGAAACGGACTCCGTAATACACAATCCAAGAAAATAAAGCCTTACTAAGGATCCCTTGTCAAGGAATCAGTAGTGAGCATTGATTCCAAAAGACCCGTTCACAAATATTCCTTCGTACACATTCCCACACCAAATTATTGAATCCAGATTCCTTACGACGGATTCCTTCGCAATGATTCCTTACCACCGATTCCTTAATCCGTATATCCGTTACAACTGATCCTTTGAGAAAGAGTCCTTGCTAAGGGTGCCTTAATACATACCCTGTTCTAAGGATTCCTCCGTACATGTTCCTTAGTACGGATTCCCTAATTACGATTGCCTGCCACGGGCTCCTTAACCGCGACTTCGTAAAGATTCCGCACGAGGAATTCCATATGAAGATTCCCCACTGAAGATTCCAATGTGAGATCTCCGTTCTACGGCTGATCCTCATCATCAACAGCACCACCACCAACATCGCCATCGTCATCACCATCTCCATCACCATCTCCAACACCCTCATAAACATTCCGATCGTGATCACGACTCTCCAAAGCATGGGGGTTCGATGTGTTCCAAGTGACGGCCTTAATCCTTCTCCTCTTCCTCATTCTCCTCCTCCTGTTCCTTCTCCTCCCTCATGTTCCTCCAGCTTGTCGTTATCATCACAACCACAACCATCACCAACATCGTCCTCACCACGATCATCCTCGCCACCATCCTCATCCTCATCCTCATCATCATCAGCAGCAAGATCCTCATCATCAACATCCATCACATCATCGTCATAACCTTCATCGTTAACACGGCTCTCATACACCTCGAGGTTCGAAATGACAAGTGACACACGTAACGGCCATACTCGTCCTCCTACTCCTCCTGCTCCCCCTGCTCCTTGTCATCATCCACATCAGCACCCCTGGGAGGAAGTCTCGAGCGAGAGCGCCAGTCCTGAATGCAGGGCAGTCTAGAACGAGAGCGCGCCCCCCTGGCAAATCGCAAGGCACTCCCCAGCGAGAGCGCAATTCCTGTGCCTATCGGGAAAAAGGCTCGAACGAGAGCGGGATTCCTTTGCAAATCTTGAGGGGGTCTCGAGCGAGAGCGCGATTCCTGAATAAATCGGGAAGCAGTCTTGAGCGAGAGCGAGACTCATGATACACAGCGAGGAAGTCTCAAGCGAGAGAGCTCGAGCGAGAAAGCAAATCGCGAGGATGTCTCAAGCAAGAGCGCGCTTCCTGGGTTCATCGCGGGGGCGTCCAGAGCGAGAGCACGCTTCTGGAATGCATCGCGAGGAAGTCTCGAGAGAGAGCGCGATTCCTGGGCGAATCGGGAGGAAGTCTTGAGCGAGAGCGCAATGCCTGGGCACATCGCCATGAGGTGTCTGGCGAGAGCGCGATCCCTGGGTAAATCGCAAAACAAAATTACGCGAGAGCGCGATACCTGAATACTTCGCGAGGGGGTCTCGAGAACGCTCGAGCGAGAGCGAGATCCATAAATACATTGCGAGGGTGCCTCGGGCGAGAGCACGCGAGAGCGCGATGCCTAAAAACATCGCCAGGGTGCCTCGAGAGCGCGATTCCTGAAGAAATCACAAGGTGGACTCGAGCGAGAGAGCTCGAGCGAGAGCGCGATTCTTCAAAAAATAGCGAGGATGTCTCGAACGAGAGCGCGATGCCTGGGTAAACAGGGAGGAAGTCTCGAGCGAGAGCGCGATGCCTGAGCAAATCGCGGGGCAATCTCGAACGAGAGCCCTCGGCGTTGTTGCCGTTGTTGTTGTTGTTGTTGGTGGTGGTGGTGGTGGTGTTCTCTGTGTGCTGTTTGGTATGTGTTGTTATTGGTGTTGGTGTTGATGTTGCTGTTGTGTACTGTTGCTAGTGTCGCTGTTGTTGTTGTTGGTGTTGTTGTTGGGGGGGCCTGCGCGGCGTGGCCCCTCCCTATTCAACAACAACAGAGACCTCAACTCAAACCCAGGGAAAGCGAATGATCGTTCGGCCCCTCACTCTGAACTTGCTTAACTGCCGCGAGTAGTTCGCGCCGACTCTTTTGTTAAAGCAATGTGGGTGGGTCGTGGATGGGTCGCGGGTGGGTCGCGGGTGGGTCGCGGGCCGGGTCACGGGGTGGGTCGCGGGTGGGTCGCGGGTGGGTCGCGGGTGTGTCGCAGGTGTGTCGCGGGTGGGTCGCGGGTGGGTCGCGGATGGGTCGCAGTCCGGGTGGCGGGGGGACGACGGCAACCAACAACGACAGACACAACAACAACAGCAATAACAACAACAACAACAACATCAACAACAACAATAACAACAACAACAACAACACCAACAACATCAACAAACGATAATAACAACAACGTCTTCTCCAGTAAGGAGGGTCCAACAACAACAACAGTCAGCACCGCAGAATCTCACTTCAGCCACGCGCCCAGGGAAAGTGAATGATCGTTCGGCCCCTCACTCTGATCTTGCTTACCTGCCGCGCGTAGTTCGCGCCGCACATCAAACAGAAAAAGAGGAAGACATGAAACCACAAACAGCGAGGGATGGCATGGGATGGTATGCCCTACAAAGAGGGAGCGCACAGCAAACGTTAAAAACACGTTGAAAACCACAATTTCTGAGTATTGAAGGTGCGGCGTTCAAAATAACTTACATCCACACACGAGAGAGCGACTCATGGGTAAACTGCAGGGAAGTCCATAGCGAGAGCAGGATTCTGTAATACATTACAAAGAAATTTCAGGCGGGAGCCGTTGTTGCCGTCGCTGTGGTAGTTCAGGGGCCAACTACACAATGTAGATGCCCAGCACTTTCCCTTGTAATAAACAGGGTGCGACCCCAGGGAGGGCCACTTCGATTGAAAACAATACGTCACCAGGCTGGGGCTGGGGCGATCAGCGCTAATGACTGTGCATGTCGGATAAGCCCATCGTTTAGAGACGGTTCGCTCTCGCATGCCCGTGCGTTACCCAACATGTACATCCCAAATCGTCGATACCCACCCTCGCCATCGCTCGGACGTCCATTCCCTGTATTTTTTCCGGTTTCGTGCGTGGTTTTTTCGCCAAATGACCAAGGATGCTCGCCGATGGTCCTCGCCGAGAAAAAATGCACACTTCCGAGCGATGCCAGGCACCCCCTTCGTCTTCGATCGCGCCCCCCTTCTGGGGTATCTCTCAGTTGCTTGCCACGTGCAGCTGGCGCGGTCCTTGCACCCAGAAGCGGCGTGGAGGCACAGGCAAAAAGAGAGCGAGGAGGCCAGGAGTACGGGGAGGAGAGGGAGGATGGGAAGGAGCGAGAGGGGGGGGGAAGCATGGAGCACGAGGGAGACTGGCAGTAGAGGGGGAGGAGTTCGGAACAGGAAAGAAGACCGAGGAGGACAGGAGTACGGGAAGGGAGGGAGGATGGAAGGGGCGAGGGGGGTGGGGGGAAACACGGAGCACGAGGGCGACTGGCAAGAGAGAGAGGGGAGAGTTGGGAACGGGAGAACAGGCTGCAGAACCGTGCGGGCAGGCCGGGCGGGCGGACGCGGACGGGCGGGCGGGTCACCGAAGCGTCAGTCCCGCCATGACTCGCGAGGACGTCTCGAGCGACAGCGCGATTCACGGGTACACGTGTGGATGCCATGGCAATGATGGACACTCCAACAGTCCTACCATTGAATTTTGAAAATGTGTTTAAAGTGTATAAAACATGTTCTAAACATGTTTCAAACATGTGTTTCAGATATTTAAAAAAAGATTTGGAGCATGGTTTAGACATCTGGAAATTATTTGGCATCAAGCTTCCTCTCCATTTATCAACCCCCACAAGGGTGCACCGCGAGGGCGCCCAAGCGAGAGTGTGATTCCTGAGTGTCGAGGGCGCGGCGTTTCAAGAAATCGCTAGGAAGTCCCACGCAGGAGAACGTGTCCTCAGCCCCGAGCTAGAGCTTGAATTCTGAAAAACGTCGTGAAGAAATGTCACGCAGAAGCCGTCATAGTAGTACTCAGGGGGGGCAACAACCCAGTCTCAGGACAAAGACTTCCCCCTGTAACATATATGCGGGCTCCGAGGGCGGTAGTTCTTCTGCTATGGTGGTACGAGTCTCACAGCCATGGCGCGACTATACTCAAACTGAGAGACCGATGTCATCTTCATGCGTCTCTCCCTCTCCCTCGCACGCGCCGCCCTCGAAATCTCTGAACGCACCCACGGCTCCAGGGGGGGGGTCCGTTCCAGCTCCGGGGCACACCCCGAACGGGGTCGAAAACGGGCGCGTCGCGCGTGGGCACCCTCGCGGGCGGACCCGGACGGGCGGACCCTGGCGGGCGGGCTGGGCGGCCCCTGGCCGAAGCAGTGGGCCGTGCTTCCTGCAGGCACGACGTGCCGCCACACAGCCCGCGTGCGCAGCAATGCGCTCCCGGCGCTGGCCGCAGGCAGTGACTACGAGACGCCGCTGCGACCAACGAAATTTGCACGTCGTCAGGCGGGGAAATCTCAGACGAGAGCCGCTGCTGCAGGAAGACCCAAGCGAGAATGCGATTCCACAGTAAGTTGCAATGGCCGTCTCGGGCGGAAGCGGGCGTCCTGGATGAATTGAGAGGAGGAAGTCTCAGGCGGGAGCCGTTGATGTTGCAGCCAGGCCGTCACGGGTGTCAAAAAAGTGTGGGGAAGTCCGCAGCGAGATCGCGCTTCCTGAATCACTTGCGAGGAAGGCTCGGGCGGGAGCGCGGGACACGAATGGAGGTTTCAAGCGGAAGCCGTTGATGCTGCTGTTGCAGTTCGCATCTGGAAGGAAGCCCGCGCTCGAGCGTGAACCTCGTATTCATAGAGACTGTAGCCCACGATGAAGCGAGAACGATCCGTCAATCTCCCGTGGATCAAGAACCGCTTCATCCTCGAAGAATGCATCTGCAAGAATCCCCAAAACAACATCCAGGCCACGGAGTCCCACCCCACCCACGCACACGGGGACGGTGTAAAACTGGTCAGTCCCCTCACTCGGACATGCACGTTCGGAAGTCCACGCGGATTTCGTGCATCGGCGGCCAGCACCGATCTGTGAAATCCGCGCGGACTCTGATAATTCATCTGTATGGTTGTATAGTTGTTCTTCTGCGACTGCCGACGGGCGCGAGTAGTCGGTCTCGGCGGCGGGGGTCTGCTCGTAGTCGGCCTCGGTCACGTGGTGCTGCTGGGCGGTGGCACCCGAGGAATGCTGTGCCGGCGCTGCTTCAGACGAGAAATAGTCGTCGTCGCCGCGGCCATCGTTACCGTGGCTCGGGCCACCGCCAGCGGGCGCGTGGGCACTGCTGTGGCCGAGCGCGCCAGCAGTGCAGACATCGGCGAAGTCTGCGCAGCAGGAGTCGTACTGCTCGCAGCCCGAGTTGCACTGGCACGCGTGGTCCTCGGCGAAACTCACGCAGCCGTACGTCGCGCAGGAACCTCCGGAGAACCCACCGCTGACGCTGGCGCCGCCTCCTCGGGAGCCCTCGGCGCCAGCAGAGCTTGCCGTGCCCCCAGGCTCAGGCCTGGAGGCGCCTGCGGTGTGGCTGCCAGCAGCGCTGCACGCGGCCGAGTAGTCCTCGCAACAGCTGTCGTGCTCCTGGCACTTCGCGTTACACTGGCATTCCTGGCCTCGAACGTAGTCCTCGGTGCACCCGAAGTGCTTGCACGAGGCGCCTCCGCCGTTCCCGCCGCCACCATGGCCTCCTCCTCCTCCTCCTTCGCCCTGCGGCGCGCCCTCGCAGCCCTTGTTCTTGTGCTGGCAGCACCACTTCTTCTTCTCCTCGGTCCACGAGAACAGCCTGGTCTCGTAGCCCTCGGTGCAGTCCTGGCCCGCACCATCCGCCTCCGGTGCAGTCGTGGCGCCGTGGTCAAGGCCACCTCCGCGGCCTGGGGGCGAGTCGCCACACTCGTCCGAGTAGTCATCGCAGCAGCTGTGAAACTTCTCACAATTGTCATTGCACTGGCACTCACGGTCCTCCTCGAACGAGCCGCAGCCGTACGCCTTGCAGCTGGCCCGCGCAGCATCACTGCGCGCCAGCGGCGGGGCCGAGGTCATCTCCTCTGGCTCCGCACAGACATCGGCGTAGTCTGGGCAGCACGTGCGGAAGTCAACGCAGTCGTCGTTACACTGGCATAGGTTCCGCTCGTCGAACGTGTCGCATCCGTACCGCTCGCAGGTCCCTTCTGGGGCCTCCGGGTCACCCCTGGCGGCGGCCCCTTTGCCCGGCAACTCCGCGTCGTGCTTGCCACCGTCGGACACCTGCAGGCCGGAGCGGTCCTCTGCGGTCTGCTCCCTGGTCCCCGCCGCGCTCTCGACGTCGCCAGCCGTTCCAGCAGAGTCATCGCCCTCGCCTCCTCCGAGCTCGGGCTCCCCGCTGAAGCCGTTGCGCGACTTTGGGTGGAAGGTGATCTGCTCGAGCCTCTTGATGTCCCGAATTGGCGGGGCGGTTGTGCGAACCGAGTCGTACATCTGCCGCGCTGGCGCCTGCGTCGACAGCGGCCGCCCGGCGCCCAGCTCCTCCTGGCGGCGGGCACAAAGGGGGGGGGGAGCTGTGGGAGCACGCATGTCCTGGACTGGGGGAGTGGGCTTCCGCCTGACGGACCCGGGGCCTGGGGAGGGCCCCCTGGAGGCCGAGAGGCTCCCGACCTACAGGGGCCGAGCGCCTCTCGGCCTCCAGGAGGATTCTCCCCTGGAGGCTTAAGCCTCTCTGGTCCTCCAGGAGGATCCTCCCCTGGAGGCATCTTCCCCGGGGAAGACACCCCTGGGGGCAGAGCCCCTCCAGGCTCTCTGCCTCCAGGGGCCCTCCCCGGGCCCGCTTCCCCCAGTGCGACTCGGGGGCCTCGCGGCGGCCCTGGCCGCGGGGCCGCTCCTCGGGCGCCCTCGGCCCCGCGGCGGCCCTCCTCAGGGCCGGCGCGGCGCGCGGGCCCTCCGCGCTCGCGAGGCCCACGGGGCCGCCGGCGGGCCCGCGGGGCCGCGGCGCCGCGGCCGCGGCCAGGCACGCGCCGCAGGCCGCGGCCGCCAGCGCGGCGGCCGCGAGCTGCCAGCGCCCGCCTCGCCGGCGGGCACGCCAAGAGGGGGCGCTGGGCAAGGGGCGCCCTGCCGTCGCGTGCGGTGCGGCAGGGGGGGCGGCCCGCGTGCTGGGGGGTCGCCGCCCCCCCGTCCCCCCGCCCCCCGAAAGCCCCTGGAGAGCCGCGCAGCCAAGAGGGTCACTCCGGCAAAGGTTCTGTTGCAACCTCGGGGGACCTTGTCTGTCCCGTCGCGGCCCTATCCGCGTCGAATCCGTGTCGAATCCGTGTCGGACTCGTCGGATCCGTGTCGAAACCGTGTCGAATCCGCGTCGGATTCACGCCAAATCCGCGCCGAGTCCGCATCGAGCCCGCGTCGGGTACAAAAAAAACACCAATTTGGGGGACAGGCGAGGCCCCCCGAACATGCAACGTAACAAAGGGTCGCTCCCACGTGCATACATAAGCAGCCGCGCGTGGGCCCTACTGCCCCTGCCGGCCAGGGTTCGGAAGGAAATGACTGGGGCTCCGAGTTTGAAGGATGCCCGCAGCCGGAAGAAGTGAACCCCAACGAGGGCACCCGAGAACCGAGGTATCAGGGGCATCATATGTACCCTGAGCATCGTTTGATCGATCCCCATCCCCACTGGCGTGGCCTTGGCCCCAGTGGTCGACTTGCCCACCTAGGTGGGGATATCTGATGTATGCCTGTTCCTTCGGGTCTCGCGGTGCCTATCCCCACATGGGTGCGTGGGCTGGTCAGGCTGGTATACCATGGCCCAATGGGAATGATGATGGATTGCACGATGCTTGACCCAAGCGCCGATTGGCCCCGCAAATGGTCGGTGTGGTTCGGGAATGGTCGCACAGGGCAGACGACCTCGGCGCTCGTGAGCGTGGGCCGGAGGCGCCCGCGAGGCCGGGGCGGCCGAGACCTCGGCCGTGAGCTCGTCCAGGAACGGCTGGGCATCGCCGGTCCGCTGCATGGCTGGCGCGCAGGGCAGCTGGGGGTGGATGCGGGTGTCCCTGGCCCAAGGCGTGCCGAGCTTTTCAACCAACCTTGGGGCACCTGGGGCCCTCCTTCGGCTACGCGCAGGAGGGACCCTGGGTAAGGGTGACCTTTGGCGCGCGACTTTTTGGGGGTCGCGGGGGGGCCAAACCTGGGCGCGCGAGCAGCTGCGACTGCCTCGTTTTCGGCCAGTTGGGGACCCATCTGTGCCCGCACCAACGGTCACTCCGGCGAAAGGCCACTCTTACGCCTAGTCGACTCCTGGGGCCTCGTGAAGGTGCCCTGGAGACCGTGGGGGCCTCCACGGACATCCCGGGGGGCACCTCGGCCCAGGGACGCCTCTGGCAACGTCCGGGGCAAGGGCGCCCAGGGCGGGGCACCGCTGCGCCGCCCCGTCGCTCGGGCCGACCAATGTTGCGGAGGGGGAGGGGGGGCTCCTTGGCAGGCTCCTGCTCTTTCCCCCTCCTCCCTCCCTCCTGCTCCCTCGAGGCGGGGAAGGGGGCGGCCGTCGTCCGCACAGCAGTGGCAGCCTCCTCGGTCGATCTTCTCTGCCTTCTCCGCCTTCTTCCCCTCCTCTTGCTTCTCTGCCTCCTCCTCCTCCTCCTCCTCTTTCCCCTCCGCCCTCCCCCCTCCCCCTCTGGTCACACCATACCCCACCAGACCCGACCAGGCCAAACCTAGCAGCACCAGACTATATCATACCTAAGCGACCACCCTTCGCGTGATAAGAAGGTTGAGGGGGCATCTGACGACAACTGCGATGATTGTGATGGTGTCAGTGCTGGTAATGCGCTCGCGAGCTGGTGACAATTCGTACGATGATGGTGACGATGCATGATGGCGATTGTGATAATGACGATGCATGGCGACGATGTTGATGATGACCGGGGCATTGCAAGCGGGCAGCACGCAGCAATGGCAATGCATCATGCAACCTCGGCTTGCAGAGCCTTGCGAATCAGCGGCAATACAACAAGCCGGTGGTTTCGCCATCACCAGCATAGCGGGCAGGTGCAGGTCACCTCCACAGCTGGCGGTGGCATTCATTTGGCCGCGACCCCTGTGGCGCGCAAAGTGGTCGAAGGCATTTTTGCACAGCGCCGGGCAAGTTTGAGCCAGACTGCTGCGTGATGCTGATGACGATAAGGGTGATGGTGGCGATGATCGTGGTGATGCAGATCGAGGTGGTACTGAGAATGATGGTTATTGAAATCGTGGTGATGCGGACAACCACCGGACAACCATCGGACAACCATCGGACAATCATCTGGGCAACCATCGGGCAAGCATAGGACAAGCATCGGGCAATCATCGGGACAAGCATCGGAACGAGCATCAGACAACCAGCGGACAACCGTTGGACAAGCCCCTGGACAACGATCGGACAACGATCGGACAACCATCGGACAACCCACGGGACAACCACAAACATGGAACAACAGCGAGATAAGCGCATGACAATCGCAGGACAACTATATCAGACAACGGCGGGGCAACTCATGGGACCACCATCGGAACAATCATCGGGACACCATCTGGACACCATCGGGACACCTACGGGGCACCATAGGAGCACCATCGGAACGCCATCTGGAACACCATCGGGACACCATATGGACACCATGGGGGCATAATGAGGACACCATCGGAACACCATCGGGACACCATCGAGACACCCACGGAACAGCATCTGGATGCCATCGAGACACCATCGGGAAAACATCGGGACACCATCGGGGCAACCCCGGAACACCGCAGGCCAACTGTGGGGAGGGCACGCACATGAATTCTGGAAATTACTTCATATCTCGAGCACTGTATCTTCGAGATTGCTGAACATTTGACGAACACGTTGGACCAAGGAAGATATGCCAGAGTATTGGAGGACAGCAACAGTGGTGCTACTATTAGAAAAAGCGACGCGAGTTTACCGAAAAGCTATCGTCCAATGTCACTCCTACTGGAGGGCTACAAGGTGCTGGCGTGGATGATAAAGAAACGACTTTAACGTTGAGGGGTCGACAACAGAAGACGACCAACTCAATGTGGTTTCAGACCAGGGAGCAGCACAGTATATGCAATTCTAATATCACGCCCTATGATAGACGCAGCACGGTGCGCGAACGAGTCTGGCTTGATCGCTGTCCTGCTCGACAAAACCAAAATTTGCGACTGGATCAAGCACGCCGTGTTTTTTCAAGGCATTGGGGAGATTTGGTATTCCCGATTCCTTGGTACCCCTTACTGCAACTATATATATATATATATAAAAAAAGCGGCATTTCCTACTGAAGGATCCAGCCCGGGGCTCCACTGCGAGGCAACAGCGCGCATGCATAGAACAAGGATGTCGTCGTTCCCCATATCTGTTCATTATCATTCAGACCGTGATGCTCTTCGACGCTAGCAACATGTTCTGGACCATGCACATGCAAGTGCAGTTGCAGGCGCATATTGTGTGCAACGACAGCTCGTATGCTGACGACGCGACGCTAATGAGCGCGTATCCGCTAAAAGGCCATACTCTTTTGGATATCATGATTGCGGTGGGCAGGCAATACGGCAAGGAGTTTGCCACAATAACTGTAAGCGATGATGGGGTGGTGTGAAGCCCCTACATGCAGCCAGAAAAGCATGTTCATCAAGCCGTCTACTTAGTCAGTTTATTACACGGCGGTGCGGAGAGCAAGCACGAGGTTAAAAGACGTTTGGGCGAAGCCAGGATTATGTTCACATTGTTGCACGCATGTTGGAATCGTGCCAGTATCAGCACGTCTCGAAATCTCAGCTTGTTTGACGCAATCGTGGTGCCCAAACTTTTTGCTCAATCTTAAATCTCGATGGTTGCCGCAAGCAGACCGCAACATACTTAACAGTTTCCAAGCAACGCGTCTCCGAAACAATCTACGGATCCAGCACTATTGTTCTTCTTCTCGGGCTTCAAGTGCCACGGTGTCATCAATTGCTCAAGCCGACCTCCTGAGTGATACACTCGGTACGAGACGTGTGCAAGCCTACGGTCAGATACCCGAGCTGCCAGACGATGCCATGTTGAGAACGTTGGTGCGTGCGAGCCACGGAGCGCTGCAAACCGCGACAGCGGCACTTGGCCCCGAAGCGCGGCCGCCCTGCGCCGAAGTGGGCCCCGTGCGTGCACCCGTTGGCGCATGCCTTCGTCTCCACGCTGGCGTTTATCTGACTCCCTACCAGGCCACCAAAACCCCACCCGAAGACCCGAATTTCGGATTGGGGGGGGGGGTGCGGCTTCCATGTGTGTTTTCTCGATGTTCCCCGACCCCCCCCCCCTCCCGGGAAATGGAAGGCAAATTGAGGCCTTCGGCTTCGGTTGGGATGGTTTGGGGGGTGGTGCTTATCGGAGGCCCGCCACCAGCGCAGGGCACGGGCAACTCTCGAGCTGTGCGCACGCTTCTGCCCCAGCGCCGAGCCATAATTAGCTTCGCGCATGGCTTCTGCTGCTGCTACGCGAACATGGCACCATTTCTAGGTCGGGCATGGCCTCCTACAAGTAGATTCTGGACGGGAGAAAAATGCCCCAACAATATCCAAACATTGTCAAACCGATTATGGAGCAATCGCCCCAAGAATATGTTTTGACTTTGTTTGACTACTCCTCCTGCAGAGGGACAGGCCCGACCTCACAACACATTACGGCGACACCACCAGGACACCCCTGGCCAACGGGGGGAAGGGCACAGCACGATCTGGCCCGGCTCTACCCCGGCAGCGGCGGGCTTTTATTTCTGTGGCCCACGCGCGCAGCCTCGCCTCGCCCGCGCGCACGGTACGAGCACGGGACCGGGAACCGACTTCCCGGTGGAGGGTCTCCGTTCCACTTCGATCTCACCCCGCAACCTCCGACCTCACCATGCTGGAAGCGCGCAAGTGGAAACAGTGTCCTCCTCTTTCTCCTCCTCCACCTCGCCCCCTCAGTATTGCCCCACTCCCCCTCCTCACTCTCATCATCCTCCCTCTACGCCTTGTTTTCCTCCTCCTCCTCGTCCTCCTCCTCTCCTCCTCCTCCTCCTCCTCCCTCCTCCGCCGTCCCCCGTCACTGCCACATGACTGCGGATAATTCCACGAGCCCTCTGGAAGGTCAGTGGCTGGCTTATTACACCTCAGCTCGTCTCCAGTCATCTAAGTCCCCGGACGAACACCTCTCGCCCTGCCCCACTCCCTGAAATCCCAGCTTCCTGCTGAATAAGGCCTCTTTGCAACCTACTAGGGTGCAAGCCGGCCCACATGATGCAATGTCCTATTCTCTGCCCCTAGGTTGCCGAACGCCAAACAGAACATAATGCGCATGTCTGATCTTGGCTTCCGAGACCGTCACCTAAGAAGTGACGACTTCATCCACCTTGTTCCCAAGATGTCCCAACTCCAAGAAAAAGTACCCGCGATGCCCACATGAGGCCCCGCGGCAAAAGACCCCAATACGCCCTCGAGAGGGTCCCAGTCCGAGACCAGCCCAACCAAATCCCCAAACAGGCACATCAAACTCCCGAACAGACCACCCCCCCAAGACACACGAAAGCCTCCGAAACGCCCCCGAGAGGTCCCCACGAGAGCCGCACGACTTTCTTCATGGAGTGGCTCACTGGCCCGCTCCTCCTGCTTGTGCTGCTGCTGCTGCTGCTTCCGCTGCTCGTGTTCCCAGCTAACCAAAATCAACCAGGACCAAAAAGGATGCACCTCTGGTCTCTGGATGGGCTGTGGGACACGACCATGCGACACATCACCGATGAAGACCACGAGAGGACCAAACACATGCATACACACAAGATCGGGAGATCCGCTCGGAGGCCTTGAACCTGTGATAAGCCTGTTTTCCACCACCACCACCACCATACGTTGGATGGGGAGGGGGTCCTCCTCCTCCTCCTCCTCCTCCTCCTCCCCTTCCACCTCCTTCTCCTCCTCCTCCTCCTCCTCCTCCTCCTCGTGCTCCTCCTCCTCCTC